TTGCTCCCTCTATATACATGTAGAAGACAATGCCTTATCGGTGATAGCTGAATTGATGAGATAGCCACCCGTCAGTGACCACCCTGGGTGGTCTAATCCCCCTGGCCAAACTAGTACAGACGGCCTTTAAGTAACAGATCAAAACAATTTACAGTGTACTTTCACGATCACTAGATTCAGCTACAATTCTGCTCTCTAATGCACATTCACCACTCCCTGGGGAGCATTCTAAACTGGTGGCCATTTTGACAAGCCACAGTGATATGCAATTCTATCCACGATGACATTCCATCATAACAGAGGAGCAATGGAGATAAAAGGGTGGTATATAATGAGGGAATCCACCTTATTGCTATGTCGGACAATTCTTGGACAAGCCTCAGTGCCGACGCGGAGATTTATGTTAAAGAGGTACATGCACGAACAGTATATACAAACAATTTCACGTCGTTAGTAATGCCAATACGTTTAATTCGAGTCATCAACTCGTCGCGTTACACAACCTTTCGTGAAACGAAAATGGAAGATAAATCGACCTTTCGTAGATTTGTCATATGGTTTTCACAAAGAGTCGGGTAATTCGGACCAGACTATAAGTAAATTATAGGTGTATATTTTACAAACATTAACCCCTAGATTTCGTGAATAGAGAGTCACATTTTCACAAAAGGTCGGGTAACGCGACCACCCGACCCGACCAGACCCGAACCGATCCAACGTGATGCCCGATGACTCGCAGTAAACCATTCAGTAGTATAGTACAAATATTTTTTGCTAATACCCAATGAACGGACTTTTACGATATAGAGGTCTAGGAAGGCCTATTCATTATGTATGCATATTTTTTGGAACACAACTAATATTGGACAATCTCTAAAGCATTTTTAGCCCAAAAGGAAACATTTTTCGAACAGATAAAAGCTATTTATACCATACTTTATTTACACTATTGTGAAAGACTGAAGAAAAAAAATCAGTTCCAATGTAGTTTAAAATTGTCTATTTCGCGCGCAACCAAATAGGGGCGGTACATGCCTTCACTTAATCATGAATATTCAGTGCTCATGTTTAATGCATGAGTTCAGGAGTTGAGGGAAAGAAGTGGGGTTATCCCTTTTTCTTATACCCTTTGTGTGTGAAGGTAAACAAACCACCAAGTGAATTTGTGTGGACCCTGTGCGGAGGTGTATATTATGTGCCTGGATTCAATCTCTCGCTCTGCTGCTTCTCTCTCTCTCTCTCTCTCTCTCTCTCTCTCTCTCTCTGGGTAGAGAGAGAGAGAGACAACCCTTGGCCTATATTTATTTTATAATGATGACAAGGTATTTTCAGCCTTCACCTACACAAGCTGTACTTTTCTTCTCCTGACAGTAGCTTACATAATTAAAGTCAAATCTGTCAAAAGGGCTTCAAATGGAACATATTAAGAGTAGCCATGCTGATAAATGACCGTTTCCCATAGATGACGATGGTAGAGGTGACCGCAGTAGACAGGTGACCTTTTATAAGAACGACCACTACGACAGGTTCGACTTTCAGTATTATCCTATGGATCAGGTGGTGAAACAGGTAGGGACCAGTTTTGGAAACGCCCCCCCCCCCCCCTCTCAAAAAATGAAATTGAAGCTCTTATTACCAATCATGTGAAAGAATATGTTTTGACTAATACGTGATGATACAAATTTTGCCGAGAAACCGCCTACTAATTGATATATTTAGTAAATTAGTTTATCTACATGGTCTGTGAGAGATAAACGCACGTGTCGCGTAGTCCCATATACATCTTTCTGTGTACAGTGTTTGTAACTTTACCAAGACTGGGCCAAATTTCTTATCATTTTGATGATTCCAGAACCTTGCAGTACACACCAATACTTATATGCTAGATGGTCAACCTTTTCTGATCGATTCCACAACGTTTCTTTCACAATACAATCGCATGACCATAACTGGTCTTTATCTTTAAGCAAGGGTATTTTTTAAATGTAGTTATAATCCATTCTTACCCTATAAGTCCAAGAAGTATAAACCTTTGTTAATACCATTCCATGATTACTAGATATCGTCTTCCATCCACCACCTCCCTTCATCTCTTCCCCTTTTCCTCTCTCCCTCTCCCTGTCTACCTATCTTCCTTTCCTCTTTCATTCTCTCTCTCTCTCTCTCTCTTTCATTCTCTCTCTCTCTCTCTCTCTCTCTCTCTCCATCTCCATTTCCCTCTCCCTCTCTATTCACCGTCCTATCTCTAACAATCCTTCTGCAGCCGGTATTCAAACCCAAAAATATTCTCACGCAATCTTTCAAAAATCTCTTTTGATGATACGATTCTGAAGTCGTTAACCCCCTTTCAGAGACAATAGCAAGAATAAATGGTATGAGAGGAGAACTATTGCAAAGTCACGATGAAACGCCTATTTATTTAGAAGGTGGGTTCATTGTTCTTTACTTCAATCTGACATACGGTCCTCATGCGACCACTGTTTATGGCGAAAACAAACAAAACTCAGCTCAAAGAAAGCGCTCTTACGCTGTCCGTCACGACTCTTTGTTTGACGAAAGTTTTTTTCTTCTTCTTCAAATCAAATAAATCAAAATTATGATCAGGTTTAGCTGTACCAGTACACAATTCAATATTTGTTTGCACGTTTTCATTACTTGTCAACGTTTACAGGTCATAGCATCAATTGAAAGCAAATCAAGATTATGCACAATAAAAATTATTTTATTAATCATACATAATGGATTCCATATAAACGTGAACAAACATAAAACTACACCGTAATAGAATAATGTTTACTTTATCAGCGGGTAAAATTAACATTTATATTAAATAGCGTTAATAATGTCCATCATACCATATAATGGTACATTATAGTATGTTTGAATATTCATTTTACAAGCATGCCTCATGATCATGATCATGTCGTGATCCGACAATTGATTTGCTCCTGCGGCAATTATTGCTTCCGTCTTCTTTGTTACGTCAGAGGTATAGGGTTGGGATTAGGGTAGATCTATCGTACTGGCAGGGTCGGGATGCGATGGGGTTTTAGGTTAGGTTTACGAGTAATAGGGGTATGTCTACTGTTTAGGCCAGGATTGAAGGTGAGAATTTGGTTGTTGTTGTATATGACATTGAGGTAAAGCATTAACGACGCAGAGCATTATTGCCACAGGGGCATGTGTCACACAATCGACTATGTACACGAAATAAATTCTGAGGTAACAAAAGTGAATACCAACTAAGTCGACCTGTCAAATGACAACGAAGAAAGCAAAGGTTGTTTTCACATGCACAGAACGGGGCGAGATATGACAATGATTATTGTAAACAAGATAGAAGTAAACCGTAAAAGTATATATACATGTATATGTAATATGAAAAAGTGTAACATGACACTTACACTTTTTTTATGAAGACGATCGGAACATTTTTCGAACCACCAAATCAAGGGCAATTGTAATACCCTATTGTCCATAGAAATCATGTATGGATTACTTAAAGCTTATCTCCACTAGTTTGGCAAGGAGGGATTAGACCACACAGCGAGGTCACTGACAGGTGGCTATCTCATTAACTCAGCTCTCAATTAATAACATAAAAATAGAGGATCATGGGGGACCAACAGGCACCGATTGGGGAAGTTTTCTATATAGAGGGAGCAAGTAACTACAAGTAGGAAAATGGGGCTTTAATACGTCATTGTCATGTTTACGCTTTCAATAGGTGACGCTCAAGGCTGTCGAAATTGCAGGAGGTTGATTTTTTCGAAAGTAGGCGCTGTCGTGTTTATGTTATATAAACAACTTTTTGAATAGTTTCAAATATCCTTTATTACAATCTTCATATTATGTATGTTTGGTTAGAGGCTGTGACTTTCACTCAGTTTCATATTAAATCCTTTAGATCACGGAAGAAAATTGTAACATAGTGCTTTTTTTCTCGTCTTGTAAATTCACAGTCGATAAAACAAATACCTTCTGGCTTATTTCTGGTTGCTATGGATTTGGTTATCAAAACAATTTAAACAAACACCTCATTTCGTCCCGGTCCTTTGCTTCTATACACTCAATTTATGACGAAGGGTTGTGGTTCGGTGAAGATGATTAACCTTTTAACGTTTGTTTGTTTTCATTGCTATTAAATGGTTTTTATTTTGTATAATCTTCCATAACCAAATATTGACTTGCAACGCAAAACAGATTCGATGTAGGACGGTACCATGGACACTGACGTAATACACGACCGGCTAATGTAAATACAACAATGATATAAATCATTGAAATATAAAATTAAATAGATTAGGTGAGGGTGGAAAATAGCAAGGGAGAGGGGGACAGGCCGACACGGCGAGAGGAGGTGGTGGTGGGAGACAGGCCGACACGGCGAGAGGGGGTGGGGAGACAGGCCGACACGGCGAGAGGGGGTGGGGAGACAGGCCGACACGGCGAGAGGGGGTGTGGGACAGGCCGACACGGCGAGAGGGGGTGGGGAGACAGGCCGACACGGCAAGAGGGAGAGAGAGAGAGAAGAACAAATGAAAGAAAGGTACAAAGAACACCCAGTCCCAGACTCCCAGTTGCATCCGGGCATAAAAGGTTGGGAAATGGAGAGAAAAGGGACAAAAGGAAGACAGGGGGGGGGGGCAATATAAAAAGAGATTATGTGACCCCTCCCACACTTTCCTTTCACATGATGTCCTTGGTCTCTCGCAAATCATCTACCTACAGGTATTAACGGTTTTTGTCTGATTTTATTTGTTTTTGCAGTAAACATTTTGACTTTGTTTTTAATAGACTAGATGAATTATTAGAGATTCAATGTCCAAGTGACTTAAATGTTAGGCAAAATTGAGATGCCCTTCATAAAGTTCATTGTATTCTCTTTCTTTTTTTCTTTTTTCCTTTTTATTTGTGTATAAATGCTCATAAAATGAGAACGCGGGTGTCTGTTGTATAATGATTCGACAGATTATGTCATTGAACTTTGCACCGAGTTTAGTCCCAAAGTCTAAATGATTTGCTAACGTCACGCAATTTGTTGCATGCTCCGATAGATTCTACACACAACAACCAGGCTCTTTAGTGATCCTGGTTTAGGGGCCCTCATCATAACAGACACTGAGTTGGAATAGCGTTTTACCATTACCTTTTGCGCTCTTTAGAAGGCCCATACCACCGTCCCATTCGGTTGAGCTTGCTGCTTCTCGAAAGCAATGGTTCCCGATGCGCTTGTGATGAAGGACTTCGCAAGGATCAAGTAGATCAATGAATTCGTTGAATTTCTTTGCGCGTGTATCTCTGATTTCCAGCCCCATTGTTGGTTGCGAAGCAGGATAGCTTAACCAGTGCTTGGATATTCCGAATTTAAATTCCACTTTGCTTGTTAGAGGATAGGTCGTGACGGCTTGATACAAGAACTTTCTGTTTCATTCATTTCATCTCCAGTTCTTAACTTCGCAAAAAGATGGATCAGAATCTGCTTCCTCCGTACGCGCCAACAACCGTGGACCTTATGTCGCCACCGGGAAAGTTGCCGCAGAGATTCCCGTCATTGGCGTCTAAATGGACGGAGCCACATCAGACAGGCGTATCAAGAGACGATCGCTCCAAGGGAAGTTTGTGTCGCACTATCGTACTGTGTGTTCTGGCTCTGGCCGTCTGCGCTGGCTTCGTCATGCTCTACCTTCAAATGAGGGACCTCGAACGACAGGTCCACCAGCTAAGAGAGCTTACCTACGAAGCCCAAAGTTACGGGTCATCTGACGACGAAGAAACGCAACCAGGTCGGTCGCCCCATTCCCGAGAACCTGAAAAGGTAAGGAAACTTAAATAAGCGATTTGCAGTCGGTACTGTAAGCATACACCTGTTATTGTTAAAGTACGATCTATTTCCACGGATACAGTCAAAACAAGATTGAGAATAAAAGGATGAATGAATAACGATAGTTGTGACGCACATACAGAATGCAGAAATCTCGAGTTTATAAACGAGGCCTTATTTCGAGAAGGTTTCTATTTATAGATCTAGTTCTTTCCATTTATATTCAGGGCTTTTTAAAAAAATCTGTAGAAGCACAACAGTGAAGTTTAATTTTCGCATTTACTTTAGTATTATTATCAAACTTCTATTAACATCATTCACATTAATAAGCTTGTGTAATCGGTCATATCATCTCATCAGATAGGCCTATAATAATATTATCAAGATATGTCAAAGAGTAATTTTGTTTAGTAGTATTTAAATAAAAAGGCATTTTATTGTAAGCAATTGACATTTGTTTAGGCACTGCCATTGTGCCTCCCTCCCTCCTTGTTATGAAATCCTGGGTCTGCTCCGTATAAGAACGTCTCATCAGCCAGGGTCCTGTCTCATAAAGAGTTGCGATTACTCGCAACTTATTTGCAAATAATAGTGATCGCAGCTATGTACATAAGAGATATGAGACTGCAAACTTGCGATGGATCGGAGGACTTGCGATTATTTCGGATCAATCACAACAATTTGTAAGACGGGGCCCATATATCATGTGACTATATTATGTCAAGGGAAATTGTGTGGGAGACAAAAATGAAATATATCTTGTAATCAGAACTTCATAAGTATTAACATCAAGAGACGTTATCTGTATGAACTACATTCATTTGCGATTGACCAGTGTTTAGTGTTCAACCATATTACCTTTGCATAATTTGATTTAAAAGCTGCTGAAAAGATATTGAATGCCTATATCTCACTTGGTAGAAAAAAGGGATATGCTGATACACAATTCGAAGCTATTATCATGCATTAATGCGCTATACTGTATAAGTCCATGTAGAGGTCGTCATTTATGGTGCTCTGCATGTACCATGTTAACAAAAGATTCTGTCAAATAGAAGTTGGAATGTCAATGTTGAACATTGTTAAAACCTTTCAAGTCCAAACACAATGTTCGTGTATGTCGCATTATGCAGCAGACATTATACAAATATCTTCATTTTATTCAGCATTGCAGTGTAGATTGCGTGATAACATTATCATGATTCAATACGTATCAAAGGTCGTGTTTACAATAGTGCATGGTTGCGCTCAAATAAACAAATGGACATGTTATTCATAACATCACCATACTGTGAATTGTAAACACATTTAAATTGATGATAAACTAAAATCAAAAATACAAAATACTTCATCGAATAATAACTCATTCTACTGTTAAAATGTTCTAGATATGTGTTGTTATCAATGAGAAGTGAAGTATATCGAATTTCGTATAAATAAAAAAAACCTGTTATACAATAGGGCTATCATTTTTGTCAATAAAGAATAAGATGTATAGGTGTATAGGCCTATCAATGTTATAATCACCCAAAGAGTGTTCCATTATTCCCTTTGATAATTAGCTCAAACTTTTGAGCCAGAATTATTGGGAAATTATCAAAAATAACTATTTTATTGAATGGTAAAAAAGAAGTTTAACATCAATAAAATCTCATATAAGAATATTATAGGCCTCAAACATTGGCATGATTCTTAAAAACGCGATAACTAGCTAGAACCCTTGGATATATTTATTCTAAACAATGTAGTTTAAGAATTAGGATATGTAAACAGAAGTAGCTTTTTAGAATGTTATATTGATTTTATTTGAACCGGGAAGCTGGAAACCTTAAAATGTTATTTGTACTTTGTAATTCAGGAATTAGAGTATAATGTAAATCCTAAAAGCTTTTTTTACTGTTATCGATTTACTCCAAATCTGGCAACCTTCAAATCTACTCTGTAGGCCTATACCCTATTGTTTAGAAATGACAATATGATGCAAAGTCCGCCCTTTTTAGACTGTTTTATGGTTATATTTGAACAATTTGATTCATTTAGGTTTGATTCGTAGTATACTTCGTGGGAGGGAACTAGATGAAAAGAAATCATTCCATGCAAGGAAGGTCGATCAAGCGCTTATTATTATACAATTATTAATAGTAGAACTGGGGGTGGGGGTGTGTTTCACTTCCGATCGACTTTAAGTTGGACTTAAATATAGCAGGCCGCTCATGCCATTGTTTGCTCTCACCATGTACTGGCATTGGTCTCTCAAGGGACGTCCAAATCACGGTCACAAATGTACAGAATTTATATTTGTTGATAATTGATTATTGAAGGAAAACATATTATCTAATGATCATAATGGTGAGATCAAACAGTGACATGAACAGCCTGACAAAATTTAGTCGATCTTAGTCTTTGTGAAACACTCGCCAGATGTGTATAGGATATATATTTCGTCTCTTAAAAGTCGGAAGGCAATAACTGTATCATAAGTTAACGCCATTTTGGCTTTCAGTTAGCAAAGTATTCTTTTATAGAGGAAACAAAGATACTTCGAAGTTATACTATCCTGAATAGGCATCGCAATTATAATGCAGGGCCTATACACACAGAGTACTTTCCTTGTAGTATACATCCTACAGTGAAGCTGAAAATGAGTAATGATAAATATTAATGGTTGATAATATTAGTTTGATTTACCAAGGGTAGACTCATTCCCCGAGGGGCACCCCCCCCCCCCCCACCCCCGCCATTGCCAAGTACCCGCCTGCCTGGGTCGGGAGGGACAATTTGTGTAAAAACAGCTCGTCCAAAGAGGTAACCACCGAGCAAGTATCGAACCCAGAACCTCTCGTGTGAGAGTGAAGAGCCTTCAAAACATAAGCTCATCAGTATACCACTGCTTTCCCACATACATTTAATTAATCCATGACATGCAAAAAATACAAATATAAGAGTGCACTGTCTATATGAAGAGCTTAATTCCGAAAGGAGCTAAACCCACTGTTAATGAAAATTGAGATATTGATATCAGAACGTTGTTGACTTAAAGAACACGTCTTTCAACAAAATTATTTATCTACATTTTTTAACCAATTATGAAAAATGCACCTTCTAATATCACTTTTCCATAGACGACTGTACAAAATCTGGTAAACAATTTCTCTTTTCTCTGTAGTTACAAAAATGGATTTAGCTCCTTTTGGAATTAAGCTCTTCATATGCTAAACGGTCTACTAATGAGTCATTATTATTATTTGAAAGTTAGTTCAATGTCTACCGTCCTGCGCGAGACTGAAGGACCTTGAATTTATGACAGAAGCTCTGATGGAATGAATGGTGTGAGCGATAAGACATTATTGAAAACATGATGACATTAATGTGTTTTCCATCAAAGGGAGCGTTCATCCCGCTAATGTGTTTGACAGAGCCCCCTCGTGATGTGCATAGAAAAAAACATAATGTAAACAAAATAATGGAAAGATCATGTATGGGATATGATCCAATGCTTCCAGTCTGGTTTTTGGAACAATAGCGAATTTATAGGGACCGCAACCACCTCCAACCCCCCCCCCCCCCCCCACTCCTTTAGTTTGAAACCCATTTAGCATACAGAGTATTGAATCTTGAGCAAGCTGAATCCGAAGAAAAGAATGTCACATCATTCGAATAAACATCCTTGTACATGTACAGCCAAAAATAGATTGAAAATCAAAATAAACAAATAAAAAGCCTACGTGATTTAGTTAAATCCAATTTCGAATTGCTGAGATGCTTTTCTGTCAGTGGGTAGTTCTGTTTCCAAAATCAAGATTTGAATTATATATAGAAAGGAATTTTAAAAGAGAAAATGTCATGAATAAGATGACACCGGTGCACCCCAAAGGTTGAATGCATGAGTGATTTGACTGAGTGGCCACGTTTGAAACTTAATCTTTACGACACAGAGGGCGTCAATAACACAGTTGTCGTGGTACAAGAAGAGTACATCTCCTTTTCAATTCAATTCAATTCAATTCTTTTTATTCATCCAAATTCACAGGAATACATGGAAATTTGTTTTGGTCACACATTGTAAACATACGTAAAATATATATGAAAAACTATATCGTTGTGTATATAATCACAGAAGAACCATCAAAAATAAAAGATAGACAATGGCAGTATTCTTATTATTACACATTGAAAATGATGAAAAGGATAGAACATCAGTGTGAAGGAAGGAAGGAAGGTTCATCTAATAGCAGAATAACTCTTTCCATATAGCATTTGAAGACATGATATAATATACATTCGATCAATAGTTCTTAGTAATCTGTTGCTAATTTCTTTGTTACTCATTTCTCAAGATAATGATAATATTACGAGTTTTGACTGAAAATGAAATATTGATGTAGGCAAGCAAACATGTGCTCTGTTTTCATCATACTTTTTATCAACAAAAGCTCTCATTTTTATTTCTATTTTCATTTTTATGTACATTCATTTACAGCTATTTCAGTAGCTTATATGAGATACTGTAACTTGTCATTGATATAACATTTAAGGAACAGTGTGCTCTCGCGGTGCAAGATAATCGGTAATGTCTGTTTTTATGCCGAGGTTAATTTTGAGATGAATAAGGGGGTCGCCGTTATATCTGAATATATTTTTCCCCAATAAGTCTTTAGATGTTCTGTATACTCTGTGTTCCGAAAGTTTGTTTTTTTTTTTATTTTTTATCAATGCCTAATTTCGAATTGCTTACTTTTTTCCAGAACCCATTTCGATTCCCCGGAGATGGCGACAGGTATCCCGACGATGAGGATAACGATGATGATTTCACACACTTCAAGGGGCATGCGAGAGGTAGAAACAATATCTTGACTCCTTGTTTTCGTAGTAAACTTTCTAAATGGTCCTTAAATGACAACCTTGATTCAAATTGCTAATGTTCAGTCATAATGAATAATAATCTCTCTCTCTCTCTCTCTCCCCCTCACTCTCTCATTATCTCGCATCTCTCTCTCTCTTTCTAACCCTCAATCTATCTCTATCTCTCTCTCTCATCTCAATTTTCCACAAGAACCTGAAAATCTTCATGAACAAAACTTACAATCTTCTAATGTTTTAATCATTTTAATGATTATATCTGATTATTGTATTGCCATTTTGCCATTTTTATCAGTTTTACTAACTTTTGTACTATTTTGTAACCTTTTCATTTGTGTGCGCCTTGGGGCCTTTATAGGCAGATATGGGCACTAAACAAATCTAAATTTTATTAATTAATTCCAATTCTTATCTATCTATTTATCTTTGTCTCTATATTTCCTTCTTTCTTTTGTTTCTGTAGGGAGGAGATCAACCAATGATCAGGTCCCTTCACGAGGGCGTGTGATGCACACTCGAATGAGGCAAGGTATTGATGCAATCTCATTTTATTTGATGTCATTTGATGTCATTTGATGTCATTTGATTTGATGTGATGTTACTTAACTTGTTGTTACGTGATGTTATCATGTGATATTTAATATGGTATGATTTTAAGTGATTCGATTTTCATTGGATTTGATTTGATTAGATGAGATGTGATGTGAAATGATATGGTATGATTTGATTGGATTGGAATGGATTTGATTGATTTCATTTCCTTCGATTTGTAGTGATATGATGTGATGTTATTTTTTTTTGTAATGGTTTGATTTGATTTGATACGATTTTAATGACCTTGAGGTTACGTAATGGATATGATGGCATTAGTATCATATTTTATAAGATGTGATTTGATTTTGTGAGATATCATGTGATTTGGCTTAATTCTATAGTTTTTGTTATGTGATTTTCTTTTATCATTTGATTCCTTGTGATTTGATTTCATTTGATTTTAAATGATTTCATTTGATGTGATGTGGTGTGTCCTGTTCTGGTATTTGATTGATTTGATTTGATTGATTTTATTTTATTGTATTCTATTTTATTTTATTGTTTTGCTTTAATTTGAAGTTATGTGATGTGATGTTGTAAGATGTCATGTGATATGATGTCGTGTAATGTAATCTGATTTGATTTGGTATGTTTTGAATTTGATTTATTATGACTTTTTTTTCGACGAAAAAAACAAATTTTATTCTTTTTGTCACCTTTTTTTCTTCCACTCTTTTCTTCTGTAGAAGGTGAGCCATCGGCACATGTTGTTCCTCTCATCTCCCCTAACGCGCAACAAAACAACAACTTCTATCCCACAAGTGAGTTCAGATAATTGACAAATTCTGATTTTGGTCAATTCCAAGCGTTACGGACATTTCTAGAGAATTTCAATTGTGAACAGATTAATTCATGGACATTTTAATTTACTTATTAATGATATAATATATAAACTAATATGATATACTTTCACATCAGTTGGGTTTCATGTTAACCATTCATTAAATTTATGAAATATTTATTTATATATATTTGTTGAAATATTACGGAACGACCGAAAATGTCATTCTAAATAACACTCTGTATTCAAAATAGAAAATTCTCTTGAGATGTAATTTCGTAACGCTTGGAATTGACCATTTACAAATAATGTTGTATAACGCTAGAAAGATATTCCCTCAGTCACAACCATAGGCCTGTCCTCATCAGCTCGCTTTTTCTTTTCGGGAAATTAGCCCAAAGTTACAAATCGCGACTTTGATAGTTCAAAACATGAGCTCGAGAAATTAGCTCGAGAAATTTGCTCAGTGTTCGCGCATAGTGCGAGTCTTCGGGCTGGTGAGGACGCACCGGACAAATAGCGGGCTATTTCACAAACTAGCCCAAGATATCTTTGGAGGATTTCCCGAGCAAATACCTCGCTATTTTGTGTCTTCACTTGCCAAATAGCCCGCTTTTTCGTGATCGGGCTAATTTCCCGAATCAGGAATAGCGGGCTATTTAGCCAACTAGAGCTGATGAAAACAGGCCCATGAGACCAACATCAGATCGAGAAGAAGAAACAGTTTGTTACCGCAATAACTTAAAAATCAAACGGTTTTGGGCGGTGTGACTTTGATATGAGCATTAATTTGATTTATTTTGTATACCTTTATGTTACGATCTTCTTCACTATCAGGAACTACAAAAGTAGGGAATCGGCAAAATAACAGTTGAAGAGAAGGATCACTTTTTGACAAGAAAGACTAACACAATCGCAACCACTTTCGAAAACTTCAACACCCTACTGACAGTCCAAAAAAAAAGTTGTTCGGATTCAGTAATATGTCATTTTTAAAAATCGCTCATTTCGAAAGGTGATATACAAGGCTTGGCTTAGGTCGATTTTTCGAAAGTGCAGTAGTTGCGATTGTGTTTACAGTAGTACGCTCCGTTTCCTTGCGTTATTATTGGTCAGTAGTAATCGTTATGACCAGAGATTGTGGAATAAATTTGAAAAATCTAGACATTATATGCCTTGGTGTAGATGTGACTCGGTCTAGTTGCTACGTCATCGGACTGTGAATAACATGGTTCGTGGTTTATTCGCGCCGCGGCCCTAAATTTCCTTTGGCAAGAAATTAATCTACATTTCAATAACATTTGCCACCCTCCACTAGGTAAAGTAAATGGGTACCCTGGAGGAAACAAAATTATTGAATGCTTTAGCGCCTATGGCAGTTCAGCTACAGCCGAGGTAATAATGTGATACTTTGTACAGTATAGTTCCTGTGCTATGTAAATGGACATTTCGTTGTTATTATTGTTATCATTATCTCCATCTTTTATCAGGTGCATGGTTTGTGTGGACGGACCAAGTGAACAGGATCTCTCATGCGACCATCCCTCTTTCCAATACGGGTAAATTCCTGCTAGCTCCTCACTCCGGCTACTACTTCATCTACAGCCAAGTCACGCTAGAGTCGTGCAACAATGATTCGGATACCGATGGACGAGGACACAGTCTCTATGTGAAAACCACGTGTGGGCGTGACACGGAGCAGGAGTTGACTTATACAGTTACAACTCCGTAAGTAGACACAAATGTTTTATTGATTTATGCAGGATCAATAATTTAGGATTTATCAAATGAAAGTTTAATGAATTCCAAATAGGGTAAGAATGGATAGTGTTATTTAACACAAACTTTCAAATTGACTTATACCAGTACAACTCTGTAAGCAAAATGATAATAATTGATTGTTTGATTACTGGTACTATTTGGTTCGTTAGTTGGTTGATTGATTACTAAATGGTTCGTTAGTTGATTGATTGATTAAATGATATCTGGTTGATTCGAAAATTAATTGCTTGACTGGTTAGCGATTGGTTACGCAAAGTTGATTGACAATAGTCGCGTGATATAGGCAATAAGTTTATCGACTGAATATTTTAATCAGATGACTGATTCTCTTTAATCTATACGTTTTCTTTCCATCCCTTTATATTGGCATGCAGGTATAACAGGAACCTAGGCTGTACTTATGACACTGGTTACATCGGGGGTGTATACTACCTTGAGCAGCACGACCATGTAGGAGTGAAGCCGTACGTCCCCCCAGGATCCATGCGGTCTCGTATCTTCCTCAAACTAAGCAACTCATACTTCGGCATGATCCTGATTTCTAAATTCCCACAAGGAACACAGCGCCGCTGTTATCCTCGTTCGTCTTAATTTGCAATGATCTTGTTGGCTTGCAACGAACAGTCACGTATCACGTATCATGTTCACGTTCACGTCTTGCGCCCTTTCGTGATACGTGGCTGTTCTTTGCAAGAAATCTTGTTTCCTCTACGTTTTAGAGACCCTTATTTATTGTTCATCTTGATCTTCACGAGCTTTAAAGTACTAAATAACCCCCAATACCCTTTGCACACAAAGAGTTATTTGGTTGACGCAAGACTGCGTCAGCGAGTGTTGCTGACGCGCCATCCATGTGAGAGTTGGATCGTACACAAAGTGATTGCTAAAACAGTGGTTTAAATCATTGGCTGACGGGCAAATTGCCGTAGCCTGCTTGATTAGCGCAGGAAATAACGCAATCGAATTGACGCTCTATATGCATTGGGCATTCAGGATCAACTATTTATTAGCTGCAGATATTCAACGATTCATCCTTTTTGAATTCTCGTCAACCAGGCGAGCATTCTAAGAATTTATTTGAGAAGGGAATTTCTTTACCAAATTTAAACGAGTGTTTTACATGGAATACATCCTTTAAAACACAATTTTTTTAGAGAAATATCAGACAGGAATCTGTTTAATTTATTAGAAGGTTATTCTTGACATTTTCAAGAGGTGAAAATCGTGAAATTGAAGAAAACATGAAATGTTAGACATTCTTTTTTTAAATATCGAGGGAGGTTTGTAGCTTGCTCTTCCACTCTTGAAACCCAATCGCGACGCGATGCCGAGTTCACTCTGGTGTCGAGTTCGCCCTGGGGTCGAGTTAAACAAACACCTTTTGTATGCATCATTATGATGAACATTATGCTCTCTATCATGCTTCTTAATCTTATATATTCTTTGTTTATTTATTATTTCATATTATGCTTGATATTCTTTGCAACTACACAGTTGTTATTGACTTGTCTCCGTTAAATTTCAAATTGTTATTCTCATAATTGTATTGGATTTCGTTCAGGATCGAAAAGAATTATTTGTTTGTTACCATGCATTAAAACATGAGAGCACCTTATTTTTGTACACGGCTATACGATATCTAATATAAAATGTAAACAGTGTTATTGTATAATCAAATTTATATGAACTTTACATAATTATATTAACTGTATTAAAATCATTGATCGTTTAGAAGAAAGCAGCTTGGGACGTATATTAAGATATTAATTGAGATACATTGATGGTAATTGCATATTTCTTTCCATTGTACAATATCTTAATTGATTCGCAGATAGTAATAATTTCGTACTCTTGAATGTTTTTTTTTATTAAAGCATTACTGTACTATATAGAAGCACCATCGCAAAATCTCCTCTAGCGCCATCTCCGGTCAGCAGTAGGTAGTATGGTCCCGTAACTCCCTGCTTCCCTAGCTGCGCTGTTGATTCTCGCTTCTCCGTCCCATGTTTGCGAAGTGGAAATTAGATATAGGGTTATCCAGTTGATTATGAAAGTTCATCAGTTCCGTATTTAAATGTAGATTGCCTGTACCTAATGTCACTGTTTATTTTGTTGCTGTGTTTGTTAATTTCTGTTGCTGTGATGTTATTCAGGTTGGGATGTTTTAATTGCGCCTTGAGCATTTGACTGTCAAGTGGATTTGGCGCCTTATAAATCATAATGTATTATTATTATTATTATTATTAATTAAACAAATGATATCAGGTATTTGGTATAAGAGGCTGTGAGATTTAAGATAAATTTTTCCTATTTCAAGTGTCTGAAAATTCGTTTTCTTTTTCGTTGGGATTCACGGAGGCAGGGCTCGGAGTAGTACATCTAAAATATTTTCCTATTATGTGATTGTGATATATTTTAGTCCTTTACATTGTGAAATTATGAACAATAAATTATGTTCGTTTATAAAACGATAAAAAAAGCTTTGTTATAATATGATGCAGTTTTGTATAAACTATGTTGTGTACCAAAAATAATTGGAGTTTTTAGAAAAAAAATCAAACAAAACAAAAAACAAACAAAATTACCTCTAGTGGTCTAAAATCGGTCGATTAATAAATTAGGTTCGGAATCAGTTTGATGATGTAAGTGAGGTATATGATTATGCCTTTTTGTTGATATTTGTACTAGAATTATACATACATTTTTACCGTTTGCTTACTAAATGTTGGTACTTGCATCGAAGAGAAACGAAGTTTAATATAAAAGAGTCATGCAGGAGGTAAACTAGGTCGCAAGCATTTTCGAGAAATCATGCTAATTCTATATAAATACATTGTTGTATCACTGCTTGAAAATTGCAAACATCACAATCATTTCATAATCCGAATAAGATCTGTATGGGATATTAAAAAGGGTAATGATTTTTGATTTCTCGAAAGTCTTTGCGACCGTCTTTACCTCTTACATGAAGCCTTTTTTGTGTGTTCATTTCGTGTCTCCTCGATTTCAAGTTAATGCTATTGATGTAAACAAGACTTGTTTGCAATTCACCTGATTACCTGTTTATTGTAAATAATAACATCACATTACTATGTCTTGTACAAAATATTTTGAAATGATACTTAATACTCAACCCAGTTTGGTATACATACCCAGACTACGTCAGATAAATAAATTGTTCATCTGTATTTTTAATTCACAACATTTTCTCTTCATTTTCTGATGTGTTTTTTTTAATTGTTTTATGGAGGAGTCGTGGTATAGTGGTTAATTCACTTGGCTCTCAAACCAAGGGCAAGTGAGAAAATGTGTCTCCAAAATCTGCGAAAAAAGAAGCGAGAAAAAAAAATTGATGAATAAATAACAAGAGAGATAGGGAGAGAGAGGGGTAGAGAGAGAGATAGAGAGAGAGAGGGGGGGGAGGGGAGAGAGAGAGAGTGAGAGAGAGAGAGAGAGAGAGGGGGAGAGAGAAAGAAAGAAAGAAAAGCATAATCAAATTTGTCAGTGACTCATGGTTTTGCGTAGAGAGAAGGGAATACTGCGAGTCTTGAGTCAAATTTTGACTGGGGGCATGAGCCACCACGTCATCCACTACCCCCCCCCCCCCCCCCCCCCCCCTCTGCCCCCCCCCTACCCCTACCTCTGGATACACCCCTGAGTCACGATTCATTTGTGAAGTCAAGATTCTGCCTTTTACATTGAGATAACTGAATGAGGGACATCAGTGTGGAAAGGAAGGCTTACAGGTTGGAGGAAAATTGGAAATATTTAAAAAGAAAATGAATGAATAAAACATTAATGAGTCCTTCCATATTCACTCTCTCTCTCTCTCTCTCTCTCTCTCTCTCTCTCTCTATTGCTCTCTCTCTCTCTCAATGTCTATCTTCAATTCTATTTCGTTCTTTATATCTATTCATTTGTTTCTTTTTTTCTTTCCTCTTCTCTTACACTTTTTCTCCCTTATCTGTCTCACCTTCTTACCCCCCCCCCCCTCTCCCCCCCCCCCCCCTCTCTCTCTCTCTCTCAAGTACATTTTAACAAAACTATAATTTAAGTCGGGAAAATACCTTAGAATGTTGTAATCAGTCTCAAACCTTTATTAGAAAATAAATTACATTGGCTCAGCTTACAAGAGAAGAATATCAACAATTTCCATGCCTAGACTTACAGTTTCTCATATCTATATCATGTTATGCATGGGTATTCAATGTTTGTGCCACACAACTTTTATATAAAAAATGATAGGGGGGATACTGTACATGTTACTAATATACACTGTATTGTTTCACTGTACAACACTCTTTACAAACTTAAATATAATCTCAGAGTATTACACTATGTAGCTCTGCGATAGGTAGTACTTTGTACAATATAAGGGAATCACACACTGTAGTCATTAAAGCGTACATATGAACGTTGAGAAAGTGCACTAAAGAAACAAAACATGAATCATTATATTGTCGCCAAGTAGAAACAGTCTATTGAGCAGAGGCACTAATGTGTTTTGGTAGATCGCTTGACGCGTTCAATTATTAATTTCTTCATTATCAGTCCAGAGGATTACCCGCCCTCTGTAATGCAATTCTATTTACATATGTTATTATGCACACCCTGATCGTTTACAAGACACCGAAAGGGGAAAATTCACATTTTTCAACTCTGGACTACTTATTGCATCCCACGTTAACTTCTCTCACACAAACTGGGTAGAAAGAATATTGCCACAAGCAAATATCAATCCATCCTCATCTGCATTGCAATTACAACACCGACCACAACATTTGAAAATGTTGGGATTGAAGCAAGAGAGAAAAGAAGATACCGGTTATAACATTGCACTATAACAACGCAAAATATAAATAATTCGAAATTTGTATCTCTTCAAAAGAACACCATGAAATAGATCAAATTTATTAATCCAATTCTATACATTTTAGTCCATGCTTGTGTATCTTGGAATATATGTACAATAACATTGTGTCTAACAAACTGTAAAGCTATAATTGGACGGAATTTTGATATTCACTTTTTAAATATAATAGCGGTCTATGGCAAGACATAAATAGAAACCAAGTTACCCGGATGACTCTACCAATATCGAAAGACGGAACAAAAAATCTAAGGGAAAATATCTTATGAACAATGTTTCGAAGAGCATTGTTAAGTGTATTACAATAGCGTTTATAGGTTTAATTTCTCCATGATAAAATGTAGATTTATGAAATGTTCATGATACTCTGAGCCTTTTCTTTTCTCCCAAAGTCTATAACACGATTTTGCTCTAATAGTAAATACCTTTTGATTGATAACCGGGTGTTCATAATTATACGATTGCATTCTCAGAAAGAATATGCAAATTTGATTATTGCTATTTTATCTAACCTTTGTCATTTTTCAGCACATACAAACGGAAATGTGCATCCTACTTTAATATTTACTTTTTAAATTTTAACCCATCGATGAATTTGATTTGCCAGAATTTACTTTATGAAGCATAATCATTTACATCATCCATAATTCATTTCATAATTTTTGCCATATTAATTTAAAAACAGTATAATGTTGCCTGATACTTTGCTTGAATTTACTAGTGTTTATCGCTCTTGTATCTATTAGTTTGTTGTTTGTATGTGCTTGCTGTTCGTGTTGTGGTGGTCGTTAGCATCCACCATCGCAAACGATCTCCTGCACGAAGGCATACACCATGAAGAGGACGTACATGATGGCGAAGGAGACCCCGATGACGGCGTTGAGGCGGAATCGAACGGCGGTGAAAGCGAGGATGGTGAAGAGGAGGATGAGGAGGAGGATGAAACCAAACTTGGCATGGGGTGGGATCGGGCCGAATGCACCGTCGTCGAAACGCAGCTGTTAGGAACAAATCAGGCCAAACAAAATTGCAGATCAGACAAGATTTCTTACAGACTGGTCAAGATTTCTTAAAGATCGGTCAAGATTTCTTACAAACTGTTCAAGATTTATTAGAGAATAAGTCAAGAAATATTAAATGTTATAATTATATTTACAAAGATACACCTGGGAGACTCTAGTTGAATCTATGTAATCAAGATGACTGCATTAGTACATTTCCCGAGTCACAGAGATGTCATATATCTAACTGGAGCCTCGAATAAAAGCATTGGATATTAGTCTTATTGGGATATATTTTGTAAACTGCCCTAACGAGGAAAACAGTAGACTAATGTCACAGAAATGTGGAATCCAAATCATCTGCAACTTTTACTGTGAATCTATGTAATATTTTACATAATTCATGTCTGTCCCTATATGATTCTCATATACAGTAGAGTCTCTTTATTACAGGTATTACACTGTACGTCATCTTAAAAACAACCGCCGCTGTTGACCGCATCATATCTGTATAATTAGCTTCTTACCTGGTCTGCAGGGTTGAGGAGGGCGATGTTGGTGCCGCCGTTGATGGCGATTCGGATGAGGTAGGGTAGTCCGATTCCGAGGTTGATGTCGAAGACGTTGGAGCCGATGGCGTTGGAGACTGCCATGTCGCCGTAACCATCGCGGGCGACTAGGATGGAGCTCAATGCATCCTGGTTGAGAGAGAAAGATGGAGATGATAAGCAGTCGGTCCTAGCTCCCTCAAAGAATAATTCATACTACGGTCATACTCATGCACGAAACCGACAACAGACCGAACCAAATAAGACCGGTAATGACGAAGGATCGGTTTGGAATGGGTGTGGGTGTGGGTGATGTGACAGAGGTATGACAATTGATTAACATTAACAAGTTTATTATATACCTCTCTTTAGAAATCTAGCCATCTGATTGGTCGAAATTGGAGTCGTGATTTTAGCCATTCCCGTAAAGAAACGAACAATGCCAGTACCGGTTTATAATTCCCGCAAGATTCCGGGTACCGGGAAAATAGTAAAATTTTGCTGCGATCCCCATTGGTTTACGTGATAAAACTTAGTTTGTGCGAGCGCGGATACCATACTAACAGTGCTTTTTGTCTGCGATTCCCAAATGATTGTAACATTCAGTCATCTTTCCAGCGAAGATTAACAGAAAGTAGTCATATCAGGGCCCGGTTTCATAAAACGTGTAATCACTAGCAAGTTATAACAATTGTTATAAGCTGCTGAAATTGTGGCATTTGATTGGCAGAGAGCAGAATTTGTCATAGAAGTTTAGCATTTTGGCATTGCCAACAAGTTTTATGAAACTCTGCCCTGTTTCGGTGTGTTCAATAAAAAATAACTATAAGTATTAATCTTTGATAGATTAATGTTTTCAATCAATATTGTGATTGTGAGAAAAATGAATTTCCCTGCAATTAATTTATATTTCCGGTAAAAAGTATAATCACAATTGAGTTGATTGCCATTTCGACACGAAATGCCACCCTATAACAAATTTTCGGGCAAATTTGAGCAAATTATCCGAATCACGATTGGAATAAGAATTACACATTCCAGGGTTCGGGCTGCGACGATTTCTTTTTTTTCTAAAAAGACAACTATTATTTATATTTTGACATGATCGCATTGACTTTCGAAAAAGTTATATTGGCAACATTTCCCTAGACCTTGTGCGTCACCTATTGAAATGTGCAAACATTACATTGACATGTTACGTAATCCCAACATGATTCTTAAGACAAGAATGTATTGAAATTGCACTTGAGCTCGATTTCTTAAAAAGACTTTACAATTGTGTTACTTGTGAAAAATCAAAGAAATATAGCCATGATTAAATTATCGACTGTGAGATTGATTGATTGATTGATTTACCGGTACGCTTGTCCCGACTGCGACGATGACGAGACCCATGGTGTAATCACTGATATTGAGAATACATCCTATCTTCACGACCAGGGTTACCATCCCGAAGCTGAGTGCAGCAATCCAGAAGATGGACAGCAGAAAAGAGGCTACATACCACTTCCTATATCAACATCCAATCAGGAGAAAAGAAGAAGGGGTAATCGTTAAAACTAGGTTTAACGGTTGACACTAGGCGTTAAAAAAAAATGTTGTATTGCCCTTTGCGACCTTTTTTTAGAGGGAAAAATGTGTAATGAATAAAAAAAAATTAAAGCTTTCAAAGAAAAAAAGTATTTAAAAAAAAGTATTAAATAAAAGGTTTCCGACCGACCGACTAATGTTTTGGCACCTAAAGGGCAATATAACTTCTTTCTTTTTTTTTTTCTTTTTTTTTTTGGGGGGGGGGGCTTATTTCGTCTTTCAGTAGGAATAAGAACCGCAAAAAGTGACAGGCTCTGTGACTGCATGCGCTGCGTCTTCTTCCTTCCGACTAAAATCATTTGAGAATTTGAGTCATATCATTGTTCTTAGCTGTGTTAAATCCAAAAAAAAATTGCAAAAAGCTCCCGAGTCATTTTCTATTGAAATGTGATCAAACGCAATTCTCTCAAGAATTCTGTGACATTCAGTAAACACTAATGTTATATCAGAAGACTTTACAATACAGTATACGAACAAGCTTTGACCTAAGAGCAATTTGTTTGGGGGAAACGGTGGGATATACTGAAAAGCAAAGTTTGTATGCTGCACTTTCCAAAATGAATTCTACCTGTAATTTGTTCACGGAATCATTTGAATAGATGATAAACTAACACAACAATAAAAACTATGGAACAAACAAGAACTTGAGATAATGAAGGAGTTATACCTGAGACGTGGCACGCTACAGTTGGGGATGGTCCATGAGAAGGCACACATAAAGGGAAAGCTAATCACAAACAGCAACCATTTGAGTGAGTAGCGAAGACAACCACAAGTACTCTCCAGGATCTCCTTATCAGGGTAGTACATGTTGATAGCTGGTAGGCAGGGCAGGGGACGAAGTGTCGGCTCTTCCTCAGAATCCTCCGATTTCTTATCCTCTTCTTCTTCCTTCTCACCCTGTTTTCAAGATAGCCATGGAATAAGAACATGATTACGAGTTGTACTGTGATGTTCTCTGACGGAGACGATATGCGATAATAATAATGAGGCCAGCTGAAGGTCAATAAGAGCGCTGCAAAGAATCTCAGTGAAAAATGTTCACATGATGCAGTTAACCGCCTAAAAGCTCTGCCATGGCAAACTCAAATATGTTTGTGTTAAAAAGAATTGGAAGTGAAGCTTAAAGGTATAAACCAGTTTTGGAAACGCCCCCCTCTCAAAAAATAAATGGAAGCTCTTATTACCAATGTTTTGACTGTTTTACGTGATGATACAAATTTGCCGGGAAACCGCCTACTAATTGATTTATACATGTATTAGGTAAATTATCATATCGATCCGGCCTGGATAGATATATATCGCGAATGCATTTCAACACTGAAAATTTGGGCATATATTTCTGCTTTTTTGCGAATTTAGGTTGAAGTCATCGAAACTTCTGAAGGTAATATTCAAACGATATTGAATGGATATTTTGCACCCAAAACCCTCGAACCGCAATTTTACCACTTCCGGTCTTTGCCTTTAACGGACTTACAGATCTGTACTCTGTGTGGTGATGACATCATAGAGAAATGTCAAGCTAACAATGCCTCTAATTGTCATTCTAGTTTGCCACTGCGCTTTTTTTTTTCAGGCATGCATTTTTATGGCGTCATGTATGAGAGAGTCCTAATGAGGAAAGACAATCATGGATGCTGGGAGAATTAAATTTAAAAAAAACATGTTGATGTAGATCAAGGACAGAGTTCTCTATCATATTTCACTTCTCATTTGTTTATCGCTCTACTTTTAGAAAAAATAAATCATTTGTAGCACTTTAGAATTTTTTAAAAAATTATTATTTAGTCGACGAAGGAATATGAAAACCGTGCTAAATATTTGTTTCAAGGAAGGCTTGGTGAATTCTGCCTTTACACCAGTAAGTCAATGTTTGTTTAGTTGTTTTGATGTTGTTGTTGTGTGGTCATTGTTCATTTTCTAATGTTCTTTTGTTTTTTGCTTTGTTTGTATCACCCAAACAAGGCGCGTCAAATACCATGCAAATCGCTGAGACAGTCTTGCGAGACGCTTCGTGTACGTGCGACGAGCATATATAGCAATCACTCCCCCCCCCCCCCCCCCCACCCCTCACCCCCACTCCGTGATCGGAGGGATACCATGCGTGTTACCAAAATGTCCGGTAAAGGGGTACTTTTCACGCACCAAAGTCCGGCTCGTAGTATACACCATACCAACAATGTCAAATCATGGTATGCCGAAAGCAAGAAGGGCATGTAAATAGATTAGTCTGTGTAAATGGATTATGAGCCAATAAATTAATGCTCTTGCTGCTCAGTCTCGCATCTCAAAGGACGTATATTTCCTGTATCATTCATGTCTATCCATACAACCTACAGCCTACAACCTACAACCTACAACCTGCAACCTACAACCTACAACCTACAACCTACAGCCTACAACCTACAACTTACAACACACAACCCACAACCCACAACCCACAACCCACAACATACAACCTACAACCTACAACCTACAACATACAACCTACATCCTACAACATACAAGTTACAACATACAACCTACAACCTACAACCTACAACCTAAAACCTACAACCTACAACCTACAACCTACAACTCACAACCTACAACCTACAACCTACAAACTACAACCCACAACCTAAAGCCCACAGCCTACAACCCACAACCTAAAACCTACAACCCACAACCTACAACCCACAAGCTACGACCCACAACCCACAACCTACAACCTACAACCCACAACCTACAACTCACAACTCACAACCTACAACCTACAACCTACAACCTACAACCTAAAACCTACAACCTAAAACATACAACATACAACCTACAACCTACAACCTACAGCCTACAACCCACAACCTACAACCTACAACATACAACCTACAACCTACAACGTACAACGTACAACCTACAACATACAACCTACAACCTACAACCTACAACCCTCAACCCACAACCTACAACCCACAACCTACAACACACAACATAGAAACATGTGATCTGCTGAGAGTTAGTGAGAGGTAGGGAGTTAACCCTGTTTAAATGTTAACACCCTTCTGGCTTTCAACATACATTTGTTTTGCAATGACTTAGCTTGACCATTACTTACCTGAGCGTGTGGCTTGTGGTCCCCGTCATGTTCATCATGATGATGATGATGGTGGTGAGGATGATTGAGGCCATCTACCAGGGACTGTCTTCTCTTTGGGTCGGAAGAATCAGAAGAGGGGTCAGAGGAAGACTCGGGAATGACAGGGGTGTTTCCGTGCGCGCTGTGGATCCCTGAATCATTATCGCGCATAATCATCGCGTTACCTTTACCCGGCACGCTTAGCAACTGCGTCTGACTACCAAAGTCACCCTGGCTATCCCCACCCAAACTCTCCATGTCTCCCACCACCAAGTCCCCGTTCATTCGCCCATCAGAGGCGACAACGGTCGGAACAACCCCATTCTGGTGGTTGCCGATGCTTCCATTTGTCTTTGTTACCATGGGAATGTTATTGTTGTTGGCGTTCACGTCGCCGTTGATATTTGTATTATTATTATTTACAAGCGATGCTTGGGAATCGGGTCGCGAGCTAAGCGCTGTAGAGTGAGCGCTATTAGGTCGCGAACCTAACCGACTGTCAGTATCTCGTGTGAGTTTTCTAAGATCGTAACTCGATGAGGTCTGTTTACAACACATGAGAATTTTGCACAATTATCCGACAACATTGGATAGATTTTTTTGTTGAAACCATCAAAGTGGAATTCAAGCACAATTTTGATAATGAAATTTAATTTTCGGAAACCATATAAAGGGAAAATTACGCGCATATCACGTTAAAAAAGATATCGCGAGGTAGAATTGCATGCGCAGATCCACAATGCATGAAAACGTTAGGTCATAGATAGGGTGCATTGAAATGAATATGACAGAAATGTGCATAGGATAATATATAAAAGAGTTACAGGTTAAAAAGAAAGAGTAACATTTACAATACGAGGATGAACATTACGATGATGAACATTACGATGATGAACAATTAAAGATGTAAGTGGAAGAGGAATGCAACATATATAAAGGAGATGGATAGTGGTGTGGGATTGGATAAGGGCAAAAAAGAACAAAAACAATCGAATTAATGTACAAGCAAATGGTATGCGTTCCAATATATTCAGATGATTAGAACAACAATAAATCGTACTCTCCCTAATAATTGGGTTAAGACAAACTTCCGGTCTAAAGTGAATTATGCGTCTTTCCTTTTGATCTAAATTGAATTTCTCTCGATCCAAGTCGTATGCGATTCATTTAATAGAAATCACTTAACTTCGTTCATTGCTACTTAACCCTTACAAGTTCACGATCAACATGTTGCAATATACTTTGTTATCTCTCTGCCGGCCGTAACGATACTTACAAAGTTAGAAGACAGTTCTCCATGTTTCACGTGATGGAATATATGATTGTTGCCTGGTACTGCTAACGACTGGTTGGACAGAACTGATATCTTTCGGTTCTGGATGAAAAGAAAATCAAGACAATCATTTGATTATTAATGGTGTGCTAAACTCCTCACTCACTCAGCTATCCGAGCAACGGCATCTTCTTCAATATACATGTTTATATTGTCGTATGACACATACCCCCGCGACAACAACTTTTCCATGGTCAAGATCGAACGCTAGCCGAATTCCTAAGTTTAACCCTGAACCAAACACTATACCTAAACCCAAACCTAACCTAACACCAAACTGTAACCCTGTCCCTAACCCTTATAAAAAATAAAGCCCGGAGCAATTGTAACTTTTTATTGAGACCTGTTCTTTCATCATCTTCATTCTGACTAAACTCTTTTGGAGAACATAATCACTAAAAGAAGTCAGCTGTCATGCCGTCTAATCCTCCTTGGTGAGTTGACTTGTGGAAGATACAATGAATAAAGCAACAAGCAATGAATTAGAATTGAGTTTAGATGTTTTACCTCTTCCGAAAGCTCGTGCGCCTGAAGGGGTGGTAGCTTGCGCGGTAAGGCATTGCCGTTGGCTGTTCCGTTTTGTCCGGGGTTTTCAGGTCCATCGGTAACGGTCTGTACCGCGGTCTCTCCGACAGCCTCGCCCGCCTCGGCATCCAATGGAGCTACCTCGTTGCGACAGAAACCACCACTGCAACAACAAAAATCAGATCAAAAGAAAATGTGATAATGTTCGCAATTCCTATGACCATTTGCAGTTAAAAAGGTGCATGGGCAACGGACATCTACATTTACATTACGAGGCTCATTGAGACATTACGTCACATACTTTTGCAAGACAAAACTCTTTTTTTGCTACTGTACTCGGAGGTGTTACAGTATACAAATATTGACTGCTCATGAGGATGATGGTGGGAATTCTCACTCCCAAGGTGGTGTTCATTCCGGCCCTTCTTTCACCCCCGAGGCGAAGCTAAAAGATGTTCTACTAGTTCTCAATCTATTCATTATTCTCTGTATTTTTGTTTTCAAATCACTGTTAAACTTGAATTTGGGGAATATGAATGAGTGAATAAATCTAACTCTAAATGTAATTACAAATTAAATTGATTATCATAAAGGGGGAGGGAATTGTTGGAAATAAGTAGGTATCTTAAAAACAAATTCCTTCGGACAACCCCCCCCCCCCCCCTTCCATAACGCCCTAGGCCCCTTAGGGTAAAGCAAGGTTTTAGCCATGCATCCTTCTCTGAGTTCTCTCTCACCATGTGATGTGCTTGGTCTTGTCCATAATGATGGGATTAACCTTCATGAGGATGAGATAGATGACGTAGAGGATGACAAGGATGAGGGACTCCCACCACGTGAACTCCGTGTCCCAAGAGAAGACGATGAAACACACCAAGGACAGACCGTAGAAGAAACTATCACGCGCCAGAGGGCGCCAGTCCAAATTAAGAACCTGTGAAAAAGAGGAAACAGATATTAGATGGTGCTTGATGCTGGGCCGGACCTGTTGCATAAAACCATTAATGGTAACTACCATGGTAACATTGCTCGGTAGGATGCGACCGTCATTGTTGGTCAAACAGTTTTTGAGCGTCAAGTAAAATCTGGCTGGAATGCTCCCCGGGAAGTGGAGATTGTGCACATAGTGTGTGCGGGCAAGCACTGAATCCAATGACCGGGGTAATGATATATATGTAGAGTCCTTAGAGACATTTGTGATAAGCGCTATATAAAAGTTAAATATTATTATTATTATTATCAATGATAAGTTTAATGCGACGAGGCCCTGGTTTATGATGGTTGCAACTGATTTAGTGACACTGTCCTATTATTCATGAGTGTTGATTATCTTTTAAAAAATACAAATTTGTTTTGTTACATAATTATGTTCAAACAGATAATGGGCAGTCTCATAGTAACTCTTCATTACATATAAACCTGCCACTACAAACAAAATTGTGATAGCCTAAATAATGCTTAAACATATAAAGAAAAGGAGAAATCATTATGAAGAAGCTCATGGAGAGAGTGTAGGACCAACATTAATTTCATTCATGCTATAAGTTGATTTGGAGCTCACATACTGCACGGTTTCTTCCAACTTGAATGTCGGATTAGGAGTCCATGGTCATTCCGTCTCATTTAAACAAAATGGCTCTCGAAAACAAACAAAAACACTCAAGTAAAAATCTTTTAAAAAACTCAATTCCTGAAGACTTTTGAGGCAATTTTCATATTCGTATCGTATATCCCCCAGAAATCATATTCTGATTACGTCCTATGATATTGTGATGTTCGCATATTTCGATAGGCAATGAACAACCCCTACTGAAATGGCCTTAGGTTGATCTTTCGAAAGTCTATATGTGATCATGATGAAGGAATACGGAATATTAGGATGAGAATAGCAAAGGAAATCATTTGATTGCAAGCGCAGGTGCTACCTTTCTTCGTCTTTTTTTCAGACAATTAAGAAACGTTTCATTCCAATGTTGTCCTCAATCCTAATCATTTCCCGACTCACCTGACCAGCTAGAGCAGCTGTGAGTGCGATGATGATGAGGATGTTGAACACGGCTGATCCCACGATGGTGCCGACCCCGACATCGCTTTCGAAGGCGACACCGATGACGGCTGTGAAGAGCTCCGGAGCCGACGATCCCGCCGCCATGAAGGTCGCTCCGGCGACATCTTCCGATAGGCTGAGGGTCTCCGAGATCACCTCCAGCGAAGGCACAAAGAAGTCATCGCAAATTATTGCGATTGCTATCATAAATATCAAAATAAGAATCAATCATGTTAATATGCATGTACCATGTAAATGAAGCTTTCCTAATAAATACAATTAAACATCAAATCGATTATAACACATCGTTCAAATTATGAATATTCGAATGCATGACATAAGCGAAAACCAAATCATTATTATTAGCTGATCAGAATGTATCTCTTTAGCTTTATAAATAGAAGTAATAATTTTGAGCAATACTTGTCCATCTTAAATGTTAGATCATTTATGCGCCATGATTTTAAAATGATCTTTTCGTAATTTTGTACATTTATGGGAATTCGACAACCATGATTATATTCATTTATACTAAAAAAATCATTATGTACCATCTTTAGTCAGTCACATTTTTTCTCAAAGGTAAGTGAAACATTACTGAAAAATATCAATATACATTGTAGTTTGGAAGGGCATTATATGAAATTTATTGTGACTGTAATATATATTCTATCAATTTTTCTTATTACATAGCATTTCTAGATAAGCTCTGAGCTTTATGATTAGGTCCGAAATGACGATTAATTTGAGTTATTTCAAATAAAACAAAATATTCGTAAATATATATTGTTAAACCAAATGCTGAGGAAATACATCACTTCAAGAGGTGTCAATGAAATTTAAAAAGGGTGTGATAATTTCTGTTTCCTACTACAAACTGCCCATTCATTGCCGTTTCAATATCTCTTTTTCTGACAATCATGCAATCGTCGGATTGTGACTGGGGATTTAAATGAGTTAGTATATGAGGTTTGGAAATGTCTGCAGATCTACATCTACATGTAATTCTTAAAAGCCTCTTACGGCTTTATAGTATAAAGGAATATAAAATGCGATTACAATAATCAAAAAAAGCTTTACAGAATTAAAGTTTATTTATTCTGTATCCAAGGAAACAAGATAAGTCTTCCAACATTGGATTAAAATCGTTAGTTGCGCTCCGTTGTTAAACAGTCCATAGATACAGAGGAAGACATCCTAACATTTATTTTCCCCTTCTTTTTGTGCACTGTTTGTCGAGTTTTAGTGTATGTGCTACTAATCTAATCTCGATTCATTGTTTGGGATGATTTAAACCCATACAAGATAGACACTCTTTCTTTTCGTTATATTTCTATCTTTTAATCATGTACAGATGTACGTGTATATTTTGTTGCCATGTAATGTTTGCTTCACAATGACGTATTACGGTATCGCAACACAAGCATCCTCCTTCTCGGGAATTTCACCGCTTTCATCAGTTTTGTTTAGAATTGTGACGTTGATGTTGTATATTAAAGCTTGATTATCTAATCCGATAAGTATTCTTGAATCTTGGATTTTGCAACTTGAATTTCTAATCTTAAAATACAACTTAAAGGCTACTATTATCTCTAAACCGGCTGAAATTAGGGCTACTGAGGAATAAATGATACGATAGTCGGGATATACTACACCATCACCATTATAAACATCATTTGCGGAGCATTAAATTGACAGTGTATAGAATTATTGTATATAAATATGAATGCATCACGCACTATAATGCGTGTAGCAAAATGAATAGCATTGTATGCCTGAGTTAAGGACTAGAAAGGCATTTATAGCTCTGTGCAGGGATCACCTCCCTGCTCTGTGTTAAATGATACAGGCTAATGGCTTTCTGCCACTCATTACAGTGATTCCTTGACGGTATTACGTAACTTACCGATGAACAAAATGATGACAAATATAGCATAGAAGATGACCCAGAGTACTGGTTGATTAACGGATTCGAAGCTGCATGTCTCCCAGGGCGGTCTTACATGGCCGCCGCTTTCATTCGACAATAAACTCCTACCCATGTTACCATCTGCAAACAAGAAAAACAAATGATACGAATTACATAATCATGATGATGATCAAGAGTTATTCATGTATGCATTTTCAAAATTATAGAAAGTAGGCCTACATTTTGAATAATTATACATGTAGACATTTCAATTCGACAGTTCGGTGATAACAGAAATACAATTAAGTCACAAATGACAGAAAATATAATAACGATGCCAATAGAGCGCACAAAATGAGTGTAGAGACAAAATGACGAGGGTAATCCTTTTTGCAAGGTTGCGCATCATCGTAATTCAAAAGTGGCCCATTCTTTAATATGAACATGTAGAAGTGAAGTTTTGAAATCGGACATCAATACAAAAGTTATCTGCCCCCCCCCCCCTCCCCCTTCCCCAGCCAATATCGAACTGGACGACACCATTCACAATCTGAGATCACGAATGTTGTATTCTTAGCTTTGAAGGGTTAACATCAGACCTCAACACTCGTATAATAATTGAGAAGCCTAGACGCAAGAAACAAACATCATGACTAGCTGTCAGTAGAGCTGCATACAATACAAGTGAACTTGGGAGTCTTATTGGATTATCCGGCTTTCAGGCAGACGTCTGTCACCTAGCTGCCAGACAACCTCCATGCAGAAAGTGACATGACAGACCTTATATCAAGAGATAATTCACTCAAGTCCTCTCCCATTGGTGAGATTAGAGGCAGGTGCGTCGTATGGTGGTAGTACATACATGCTCGTATTTTTACCACCATCTTGTTAGTACGTGTAGCTTTCTACACTATCATATTGGAGAAGCTTGTACACGTTTATACACGTTAAACTAAAGATTGTATTAGGTGGTGAAATCGCTAAATTTCAATTTAATATCTTTCGACGTTTTAAAATACTCAATGCAGAGTATTGTAAAACATCAATTAATTCTAACAGATTATCGCTGGGTATGATAGCGCTGAACTTGTGGGCATCATGAAGATAACTACAATGTTGTTGTAGGCTATTTACAACAATTGATCTACTGTATATAATGTTTTCACAAATTCACTTCAGTGGTACATGCTGTATGTGAAATTATTATTAGAGATTCTAGACGACCTATACAGGTCATGTACCTGTAAATGTACATAAATAGCAGAGAGGATGATTTTAGATGATCCCACATTTTTACAGATGTCATTTTCTCCAGGCAAATGCTTCGATTACAAATTGGCTTTTACATAATGTAGACCTGGAAACAGTATACAACCAAACATGTGGTTTGACTATTTCAAGAACCTTATGAACAAGAATCCAAAACTGTCAAAAGAACAAAAAGAAATTAAAAACTTTACGGACGACGCAATACTGCAAAAAAACTTCTCATCTTTAGATTTTAGGATAACTCCAAATGAAGTTCTAGGATGTATTGAAAAATTGAAAAGAAATAAGGCCCCAGGAAATGATTCAATTTTAAACGAAATGCTAAAGGCAAGCCGATTTGTTTTGACACCGATTTTAGCAAAGATATTTAACTTAATCTTAATTAGTGGTTGTTTCCCTGAAAACTGGTCAGTGAGCCTTCTAAAACCGCTTTATAAAAGTGGGTCTGTATGTGACCCCTCAAACTATCGAGGAATATGCCTATCCAGCTGTCTTGGCAAATTATTTTGTTCGGTTTTAAACCGACGTTTAGTACAGTTCCTTGAAGACAATGAACTGTATAAACCCAATCAAATTGCGTTCAGAGCGGGCTACAGAACGTCTGACCACATGTTTGTTCTAAAAACAATAATAGATAAATATGTAAGAGGCCGGGCAAAGAATGATAAGAAAGGTTTATATATATGTTTTATAGATTTAAGGAAAGCCTTTGACAATGTTTGGAGGGATGGTCTTTGGTATAAAATGTTAAAACAAGGTATTGGTGGTAATTTTCTGAGAGTGCTACATGACATGTATTTAAAATGTAAAGTATCCATAAAACTAGACGAGGGCGTCACCTCGTGTTTCAATACGAATACCGGAGTAAAACAAGGGTGTGTCATTAGCCCGACATTATTCAATATGTTTTTAAATGATGTTGTAGATATTTTTGATACCTCAGTTAGTGAACCAGTAACGCTACATGACAAGGACTTGAACTGCATAATGTATGCAGACGATCTAGCAATTATTTCTAGATCCCCTCAAGGAATGCAATACTGTTTAGATAAATTCACTCAATATTGTAACTCTTGGATGTTGAATGTTAATGTCACCAAAACTAAAATAATGATATGTAATAAGTCAGGCAGGTTGAATGATAAGAGTGATTTTGAAATAAACGGGAAAAACTTACCTCGGTAAAGGAAATGAAATATTTAGGCATTGTTTTTAGTAATAATGGATCGTTCAAAATGGCGACAAGGGACTTAGCGGATAAGGCCAGGAGAGCATTATTTAAACTTTATAAATCTTTCGGCAATTATACGCCCAGTATTAAAACCTTATTACACCTGTTTGATGCAACTGTACAACCAATTTTGCTTTATGGATCCGAAATTTGGGGTGCTAGTGCAATAGACATGAAGAAAATTCTTCAAATAGAAACAGGGAAAACAGGACTGTATTATAAAAACGATTTTGAGAAAGTACACATTCAGTGTTGTAAAAATATCTTAGGGGTAAACCGCAAATGCAGCAATTTAGCAGTTTCAGCTGAAATTGGAAGGCATCCTCAACTTATTCAAATTGCAATAAACATGCTCAAATATTGGATACGAATACGGAGTTTGGATGAAAATGGCCTTGTCTATAAATCTTTTGAAGAAAACAAAAAATTAGTAAATAACGAACAAAGCTGTTGGTTAATGTCAATTCGGGATATCTTTAGTTCACTAAATATTTGTAATAATGGAAATGAGACCGTATTGGACCCTGAAAATATACAAATTTCTCATAAAGATTTTGTCGAGTTATGTAAACTTTGTTTGGAAAGGAGATTTGATGAACAATTAAAACTAGACTTATTTGATGATAGGGATACCCGTAAAGGAAATAAACTCAGAACCCTCAGACAATTTAAAAACTCAATCAAGCAAGAAAAGTATTTATCTCATATACCAAATATAAATTTAAGAAAAAATATCACCAAACTACGTCTAAGCGCGCACAACTTACCCATAGAAACAGGAAGGTATAAAAGACCAGAAAAAACTCCCCCGAATCTACGATTCTGTGAAGACTGTAATATGAATCTTGTAGGAGATGAATTCCATATAATTATGAAATGTGACAAGTATAAAGATTTACGAGTAGATTTTATAGAAACAATTAGTAATCTGGAAGAAAATTTTTGTAATTTGGATAGTCAAGAAAAATTCATATTTATAATGAGATTAGATAATGAAGTTGTAATAGATAGTTTTTCTTTGTTCACCAAAAACATAATTGCAATGAGGGGTAATTTTTAGATACTATATGTTATAACAAAGTAGTCGTGTACAATCTTATGCTTTTGTTTTAGTTCTCATTTACATATTTCGTATTGCATGACTTATTGTTTATTTAGAAAGGTGTTGTAAATGTTTTATATTATGTTTTATATATCGATTGTTGCATTACATTGTAAAGTGATTATAACTATGTCTATAAACAGAATATTGATGTACATCAATGATGTTTAATAAATACAATACAATACATGTAATATTTTGTCCCAGAAAAAAGTAGAAGATTAGACAAATTAAAAAGAAACTCTAAGTGAGATAAAAAATAGAAAAAAATAACTACACACAGTTGAGGAGGGCAATAGAATTGTGTGTGTTTTAACTTTGTGTGCAGTGTTTCCACATCTCATATAGATTAACAATGTTCATGTGTATGTTAGCGTCCTACATGGACGATAGATAATTTTTGTCTCTATATCTCTATACACAAACATTATAGTGCCACTTGTCAACAAAAATGGTACTCATCTAGACATCCAAAATTCTATATCCAGCAAGTGCCAAAATCAAATTCATTATCCGTCACTTTCTGATGAGTTCAATAAAAATAATAGTTGTCTCATGTCGGTTGATGAAAAATCGTTAAAATAATTCAACCGATAGAAAGAGAAAATAATATTTAAGAAAATTCTGATCGCAGCCTACGTCATGGTTGAATCATTATTGTTTCGACAGACTGATGCATGCCGGGAATGAATCTAAACAGTCTAGCCCATGCAGTGGGATATTAGAATCTTTGTGTGACTTTTATTTTGATTCGGGGGCAGTCTGATGATATTGGAAGTCCAATGGCTTCTATTGGTAAATCAATAATGATAAATCATTTGTGATAATTATCTTACGATCTTAGCTATAAAAGATTTGCTAAGCATGATGTGAACGAAATATTCCTAAAAATTCAAAAACAATCATTAATAGAAGAGCGCGTGACAGCTTTGTTTATTACCCCCCCCCCCCCCCCCCCCCCCCCCCCCCTTCCCCTCCCCCTCAGCTCCTTTACCCTATACAGCATAGTCAGATGTTCATAATGTACTGTACATAGCATGTACAAGTACAAATGTATATGCCTACTTTTCACCATCGCATTATCGAATCCATTATTGTCGATAAAATGAACGCTTGTAATAGCCCCTGACTCCATCACTTCGAAATTATTTATGCATCATTAATCTTTATCGCATTGATAGTCTCACTTGTTTAGAGTGCTTATTTGTCATTTCGAAATCATCCAATAATAAGAGAAAATGGACGTAATGGAGAAGTAGTGGAGAAGACAAGAGGCAAAATGATATAATGATGTTTAGCTCTTTGGGGTTTTTAAACGGTTTATGATAATTATTGTGATATAAAATCTATGTTCGCTTTGTACAATCATAACCAATAATTCATAAACAATATTTTCTTTTAATTCAAGTATAAATAATCATTGAATGAAACACGAACAAAATAAGAAAAATTCTTTAAATTGTAGTAAATTTTCCTTTCATGTCGCAAGACAGTGAATACATGAACAGTGTAATCGCACTCTGTTTTACTCATAAACAAAGTCAAAATGCATGACTTTGTAAAAGTCAGAATTTAATGACTGTCCATACCTTGGTTTCACGAGCTATGCATGTACTCACGCCTGAATACGGCATAAAATCTCTCTCTCTCTCTCTCTCTCTCTCTCTGTCTCCCCCTCTCTAACTCTCTCTCTCTCTCTCTCTCTCTACCTGTCCCTGTCGCTCTCTCTCTCCTCTCCTTCCCCCTTCGTCTCTCCTTTTCTCTTTCTTCCTCTCATTCTCCCTCTAAACATTGTCTATCTCTTACGTATTAACAAATCGTATCAAACTAAAACTACGAGAAAAATAATAAAAAGAGGGGAGATTCAGTCGTACCGTTGTTTTGGTCATCGATGCGTTGCAATATGGTAAGTGCCTAGACAAGTTTAAAACCTAACATTCACACGTTCAGTTTACCATAGAAACGAGACACGTTGATTTTCACACGAGATTCCCGGCGCTGCATGCTCACAACGTATCCATAATTGATTACTTTAAAACCGTTATACAATCATGATTGCATTTTGTATAAATCATATATTGTATTCTGTCTCTGATATTGCAATATTTTTCATCATAAAACATGGCACCTTGTGCTTGGTCGTGTACTGTACTTGTTTCTATGCAGGCGCCTATACACTGCAATCAGGTTTTTGTTTTAATAATCTTCATGTATTACTGTAGGGCATATTCACTTTTCTTCTGTATTTTGTAGGTCTACATGATAATTATTTCCTCAACAATTTTCCCAATACAATTCGGAATTATAATAAAAGTACACGTAGTATCAATAACTGAGGCAAATACAGCAAATACGGTAGTGTGCTTAAGCGTTTGTTGCCGAATAGTTAAGTCCAAACTGTAATCAATTCTTGACGCATTGGTGGGAATATTCTGACGGGTATTTTCCTTTAAAAGTAAGGTTATTTCAGATGAATGTTTCAAAAGCAATCATTCTAGAAAGACGCAATCAAGCGAGAATATCCGCCCTTCGGGAAGGCCCTTGGAAGGAAAAAAATATATGTACATTGCATGGGGTTTGCTCTATCGCGAAACAACCCCTATTTCCCCACCCCTATTGATAGTCACGTCCTTATACGCCACAGTTCACCCCCATGTTCCCCCTTTTACCTTTATACCCCCACCACGCACCCCATGTTCCCCCTTTACCCCCCCCCCCCCCCTTTACCCCCACCACCCCGCACCCCCTGCCCTAATCTCCACTCACTGTGTGCTTGGGGATATCATTAATACTCCGCCATTCTAGAGCTACCCTATTGTCGATCTCTGCACAACACGGTCCACACAACCATGACAACTATATAGCCGCCACATTGCCCGCTCGTATAATTATACCGATTGTTACGTCACAATACTGAACCATCTTTCTCCTGCTACACGAAGCAAGGTGAAATAAGGGTGTCCATATTCCCTTTCTTTTGATCGAGATCGGTCTTGCCGAAAATCGCATTCAGCGCCTTCGATCTGTAACAACTGCGATGAATAGAATGTGGGCAGCTACCGAAGATGAAGAATAAAAGAAAGAAAATCGAAGGTTGATCGCTCCGTGCGAAGGGTCTTCTTCGCCTTTTGTCCATGATAAATCCCTTTTGAGCAGCAACGTACATGTATATAAACGTTAAAGCGAATCGCTGCATGTGCACGGCACCTACGACTCCAAATATCCAATAATATTCTTCTAATGACTACATGTACAGTATGTGGTGTTAAGGTGCCGTAATGGCATCTCGATGTTATACATAAGGAGAAATGCCTTATTGTATCTTTGTGTGCATGTAGGTGGAGACGTTATCGATCATTAAAATCCCAAGGATTGTCTCGTCAGACATGATGGTCAGACAGGGCTCGTCTCTCATCTTCTCGTAGTAGAATTACCCCGATCAGAACATATATCATTCTCATGCTAAAACGATGCTCAAGTATTCTCACATTAGCATGTATGTATAATGTATACACAACTTACATCATCATACTCATCTCAGCATCTCAGCATGGCAGCATGGCGGCGCAACATGTCAGATGACACTATCGCGAATTCTCCGTTTTACCTTTACTCATAATATTTTCTACATGTACAGTAAATACGTTTCATAAAACATATCTCATTTACCTTGCTTTATGCCTCGCTTATCGTCATTCTATTCGAAATAATTTGATGCTCTACACTGCAAAGAGTTTTAGACGACAGCCGCAGTTTTATCTTAGAAATTCAATGATTCTATTAAGTTATCAGCTACAGGAAATTGTCTCTCAATGCTGTCTTACATACTCGAGGAACATCGCTTTCTTTTGATCTCCTCTCTCTTTCTTTCTTTTTCTTTAAATACAGATGACGCTACCTCTGACAGTCGTCCGAGTGGTTTTTAATCGACTTTCAATTCTTACGACGTACATGTACTTTTTTTAAACAATAACACATTTATATTGGTCAGTAATTGATAGCAATTAAGAGTAACGAACGCGTCGGTATAATTTAGAAAATCCTTCGTAATACACGAACTAGAAATAGGTAAGTGTGAGGATTGATGTCCATGAGAGTAATCTTTAACTTGATTACATCTTACAAGAAGGCCATCTTCCTGAGAATCTCTTATATGGTTTCAATAATTTCGTCGGATGGAAACGTCTAAAAATGGGTCGTTTTACATTTATTTCCTAGTGTATATTCTTCTTCTTCAAAGGACTGAAAAGCCTCACCTGATTGGTATTTGTCTTGCATATCAGATGCTCTGTTTGATGTGATGTATAGTATGGAAGAGATGAGAAAAAATGCGACTACGATGGAGGTTCTTGATAGCCACTGTTTGTTGAGTGTACCGATCTTGCTCTTGTCCCGTCCCCCGAGTCCAACCCGGTGGCGCCATGGTGGTTTCCTGAGGCGGCCAGTTCGTCTCACAGGCTCGGATTGGACTGCTATTTCATGTGATTGCATTGTTCTGAAATGGAAAAACAACAGAATAATTCATCTTTGATTAGAATGATCAAAAACAAATCCGAAACGTTAAATCATCTTCACCTATAGAGAAATGGCCGAAAGTTGTAGGGCAACGCCCTCATTCCGTATGCAAGATGATATTGATGATGATGATGGTGGTGATGTTGGTGATGATGATGGTGATGGTGATGGTGGTGATGTTGGTGGTGGTGATGGTGATGGTGGTGGTGGCGGTGATGGTGGTGGTGATGGTGATGGTGATGGTGGTGGTGATGGTGGTGATGTTGGTGGTGGTGATGGTGGTGGTGATGGTGATGGTGGTGGCGATGGTGGTGGCGATGATGGTACTGACGGTGATGGTACTGACGGTGATGGTGGTGGTGACGATGATGGTACTGACGGTGATGGTGGTGGTGACGATGGTGATGGTGATAATGATGGTGGTGACGGTGGTGATGGTGATGATGATGGTGGTGACGGTGGTGATGGTGATGATGATGGTGGTGATAGTGGTGGTAAGTTTTATGATGGTGGTTATGACGAGGAAGATGATGAGGTTCTATGAGAATAATAATGATTAAGATGATGATGACTTGATGATGATGAACAAAGCAAGTACAACACGTTCTCAAGACGCTACAAACATTATAAGGGTACCTAAGTTCTTATAGAACATTTATTTAAGTCCAAGAACGTTTTTTTTTTCTTTATGAGATGATATGACGATCAGGATGATAATGAGAAGTAGGAGGATATCACATAGTGATATTCGTGCATGTAGTGGTGGTGATGATGGTGCTGATGATGGTTATGATGGCGACGATGACGACGACGACATTTGTGATGAGGAGGAGGAGGAGTCTATAGCGGTAATGATGATAAGTTTGGCGACATCCATGATTTGCCTTTATTATGTACATGTACATGTGAACATGTACAAGTCATGCCACCTTTTCATTCAAGGAAATATTTCTCGACGCTGCTACAATCCCTACATTAAGCTTATTGTTGAAAGTATTTCATTGTTTTAAAGCGCTGTCAAATTCTTTGTCATAATGAAAATAAGAAAAATGCATCATGAAACACTCGTAACAGAATTTTCACAAACGGTTACATTTCGATGTTTCTGTAGAGTGCTTACTCTGAAAAATTGTAGATGTCATGAGCACTATTATTATTATTATCATTATTGTTGTTATTATTGTTATCATTTTATTGTTGTTGGTGTCGTCGCTGCTATTATAAAAATGGCAAATTTATCATTAACCATTAAGCTCAGAGAACTGTGCTATTGTAAATTGGTGATGATTCATAATATTGTAATCATCTTTCACACCAAACTTATTATGAACGAAGACATAATTTACAAAGAAAGCAAAATACTGAAATGTGCATCGTCGACGTCCTATTAATAACGGAATAAATCCTCCTAGACTATAATAATCAGTGTACGCTTTACGTCACTCATAACCAGGGGCGGATCCACGTAGCGAATATTCCGGCCCGCCCCCCCCCCTCGCCCCTAGCCCCCCAAAACGATAAAAAGATAGGATAATAACGTAAAGTTAACCTTTATAAAACAAAAAACAAAAGCGCCCCCCCCCCCCGCTTATTCGCCGGCCGGCGGTGTCGGCACTAAATTTTGTATTAAGATTTGGCTACCCACCCACCCCCCCCCCCCCCTTCACGCCGTCTGGATCCTCTGCAGGCGCGGATCCACGGTGGGGGGGGGGCTGACGGGACAACAAAAAAAAATTAAAAAAAAAAATTCTCACGAATTAGGTGAAAAAACAAAAATAGTGGTCTCACCCCCCCCCCCATTGGACCAAAAAAAAGTGCCTCCTACCCCCCCCCCCCCCGCTTATTCATCGAAGGCTGAGTCGCAACTAATATTTTTTCACGGATTGCCCCCCCCCCCCCCCCCTCTTCCCGCCGGCTGGATCCGCCAATGCTCATAACACAACATTTTCTGGGAATTTCATTGAAATAAGAGGATTCTTTGAGCAAATTTATTCAAGGAGTTATCGGTAGATTTTTTTTTTCTTATTTTATTTCCAACCTTGAGGGAGAATCGTGAACATCTTCAATCCTAGATATACGGAGAAATCATCATTGACCTTGCTCTGCCAAACATCTCGGCGTCATTTTACTTTTGTATCTTGACAGATCTAATAATACATCTTTTCAATTATTATTATAATGAACATGCAGGCCTTGTGGTTGGATGGGAGATTATAAAATAAGAAGGAAATACAGAATTATTGCTGAATGTAAACACGTTGTGTGTCCGGACAGGTTACTTATCTGGGACAGCTAGGTCATTTTCCAAACGGAAATAGAGTCTACAGTGTATGTAAGAAGTACTTTGCAAGTAAATATTATTGGGGGTGTGCATGCGTGGGCAATGAGACTTAAAACTGTCACGTATGCGGTTGGGGATTTAGAAAGGTATATAATAGAAAAACGTAGAATAATACTACATTACGTGTATACTTTGGATTTATTCTTACAACTTTCTAGATATCTTGTGAATGATTTATGATAACTTGAATGAAAACGATTCCGATTTCTTGCTTGAAAATGACCTGCCCGGACCTACCACTAGGTCTAGTCCAACCACATAAGTTACATTCAAAATTGAAAAGACACAAAGAGCCATCAAATTAGTCAACTAAATACATGTAGACCTAGACCTCTAGGCTAGATATAGTCTATGTCAAATTGACAACTATTCCAATAATTCTTAGCGTGACCGTATAAAGGAATCAGAAATTATTTTTCCAAAAAAATATTGACGACCACTTGGCCCTTTCACAAACAAATTTAGTTCGCGATTCAAATCTTAGTTCTCCTTCTTGTTTTTTGTTGTTGTTGTTGTTGTTTTGCTATCGTTCAAACTCAGGATAAATTTCACTTTACGCTTCTCGATTTTTATCTAATAAAACAAATTAATATTTTTAGAATCTAGGCCTATCTGATTTCGGAAACAAAAAACAACAACAACAACTTTAAAACGCAATGAATTTGATTTGCGCGCAGACTCGGATGCGGCGTTAGTTACGAAATGAAAAGTAGATCACCTTGTGCCTTTGTAAACTCACATTTTGCTCGGCAACTTAGAAATAAAGATCTTCATTATCTTTTTGTTACCATAACTGTCCAGTTTAGCAATACAATTGTTCTGCAAAGTCGAGGATTTAGATCTTTATCATATTATTAAGATCGAGATCTCGATCCAATGTTGACATTTTGGGGACAATAATATCATGAAAAATGAAGAGAAGAGAATAATGTCACCGCTGTCTTTAGATTTAGGTCTAGAGGTCTAGATATTAAAGTAAAACTGAAAGTAAGATCTTATTCTTTGTGCATGACTAAGACCAACAGTATACTAAGAAGAGACGAAAAGGAATTCTCACACATTTTCCTGGTCTTGGTCGAAATATATGAGGCAGTGCCTCACATCTAGAAAGTCTAGTCTAGAGTAGAGTCTAGATCTATGTCAATATTCACATTAATCTTCCAATCGTGTCTGCTGAACGAAATTCCTTTCCTCATTTTTTGTTTCTCCCAATGAGACGTGTGCACACAAGTATTTATTAGGGGAAAATCATAAGAAAACAAATGCTGGCCGAGAATTACTCGTTTCAAGAGTCAAGACGGAGAGAGAGAGAGAGAGGGCATAACAATGACAGCATCATCATTCATCACCGCTTCTAAAACCAGGCACCAGTCCACACTCCTGGCAAAGCATCACACAAAAATGAATCCTTTTTACAGCTTTCCGAGTATCTGACGATAATTTAGCAAATATAAAACACAAAAACATACACATATAAAACTCCGTTACCTTATTGCGTGTTCATTTCCCTTCATAAAGATAGCTTAATTTCCTTTAAATGATAAATAATGTCCAGTTATTTTCCGGGCTTGTGTATTTTGCGAGTTTCTTGTCTTTGGCGACTCGCATTTAGTGATGTGCACCTTTTTGTGGCGGTTGCATGTACGCTATGGTAAACCTGTGCGCAAGCGCGCGAGCTGCAGCTCATCCATTGACCACTGTATTGTAGTAGCGCGCGCTGGAATGACCAATAGTTGCTAGGAGCAACCGGCGCACAAAATGCACCAGAGGATAACAGGACTCCATTTAATCAATTTCTTCAAGAAGTTACGTCACAAAGGAAACTCCCCCGAGAAAAAGGTAAATACAATGGTCTTACAAAGTGATATATTATTCACTAGTCGGAGGCTCATTATTAATTAAAATCAGGCGGTAGTCGTGTTATTGGGTGCTGGGAAAACATTGTGATCATCTCCAAGTCAGCAAACAAAATTAAAAGCAAACAAAAGTATGGAAATAAACTTTGTCTGCAAACTGAGCTTCGTAAACAATAAACAAAGACAGACATTTTATATTGTCTTTAAAAAAGTATAAATATCCTATCTTTAGAGATAATATAATACCTGCTAAACATGTTTTATGATTATTATCACATAATTTTCTTTGCGGTTTACTAAACACTGTTAAGAAGCATATAATTTAAGTACCTTCCCTTTTTTTTACAGTTCAAATCCTATAGTTCTATTCTTTTTTCTGAGGGCACGATTCTTCTAGAGGATAAAACTTACAATAATAATGTACCAATTCATATTTCAGGTAGAATGCCATAATTATAATTATTTTCCTGAGATTGTTGTCCAATGAAAGGCCCTGTAGATGTTGGCCGTATATGTGCACAGAAAGCATCATATACACTTATTTGTACCAAAATGCTGCATTTAATTCATTTTGGTCGGACCACCGACGTTGGACAACCCGCCCGCCTAGGACAATATCCCCCGGACAACTGCTAATAATGTACCCTTTATCATATTCCACCCATTGTGCGGAACTTCTATAAGAACTTGTTCAAGTAACCCTATATTTGGTTCGCTTCTTTGCTCCGGGCTTTATTTCGTCAAAAGGTTAGGGGTTTCAAGTAAGCGTTGCTACTGGTTAGG